CCAATTTATAGCGTGTTTACTGCACCGACAGCTAGGGATTTGTTCAAAAAGAATCGTTTTAAAACAATTGTTTTAAATCAAGTTTTTTTTTTGCCTGTTTTGTTCAGAATGGCTGTACTATTTGATTTTTTTGTATAAAATAGGTTGAAGAAAAATGAATGTAAAAACATGCCAAGCGCTTCTCATTTGCAATAAATCTTTCAAAATGCCATAAATATCGATAGAGGCTCATACACACCTCCTCAAGCTGTAGTTCAGTGGTTTGCGCAGTAAGACGCAACCGATAAGCCATTACGTTTAAGACCCCGCTACGACGAAACCACTTTGCGAAAATTAAAATGCTATCGGATAAATGAGTTTGTATAACCTTGAAAAACTCTATCGCTTTAACCTAAAAACAAAGTATGCTAAGCATAAATTAACCGAACAGTATTAACCGTAACAATGCCTTCATTTTATGAGAAAAATGCCAATACATGAACTCGAAATCCATACTATGCGTCATAACAGATTAGTTGTGGCGTCTTTGCATCAGAGGACTCTTACAATTAGCATAGGCTAGGCTAGAGTGTCTAATCATTTATATCAGTAGACTGTCACCGAATTAAGCATATTCTTCATTATCGCAAACCACTCGTTTTGCCGCAGCCTGCTCCTGATTTTGTATTTGTAGTAGGCTCGTGAGCTGAGTTTCATGATTTACCTTACTCAAAACGTCTCTCTGATATCTCGGATAAACATTTCGGTTAAAATCTTATGACTTTGGTGGAGATACAAACGTGGCGATAAATGTACGCAATAGAAGTAAAAGTCAAAATAAGAATTTTTACTTACATTTTTAAAATTATAATTTCGGCTGCGTGTGCAGCTGCCAGATTGCAACGTTTTGGCATAGTTCCGCGGCGATACAAGGGCTATTTCAATAAAAAGTACAAAAAATACAGGAAAAATTTGATTTTAAAACAAGCCCATGTTTTAAAACATGAAAATTGATAAAAAAAAAAACCTACCGACAGCGAATGAACTGATCTACATCTGTAAAAGAAAAACTTCATTAGTTTACCTGATTTGTTTCCATTCCTGGATATTCACAGACGTATGGGGTCGTTTGTAAATTAAATTCGGTACTTTATATTGAATGTCGGTTTGTTACCCACCTTGTGATAAGTTTATATGTAAACAAAGGGTTGCTACTGTCACTTGCAATACCACTGACAGTTGCATTTCAGTAATATCGACGACTTCACAAATGAAATACTAATATAACCTTATAGAAAATTTATTTTGATTAGTAGGTAACAAAACTTAAACTTGGCCAGACAAAATACTTGTTGGTGTTTTCGTCTTCACATCCACAATTCAATACATTCTATCAGCACATCTTATCATGATAAAATGTTTTTAAATTTAAAAATAGTTTAAAACCTTGCATTGACATTTCATACCCTGTCATTCATTGTATATAGATGATACATGCGTGACATTAAATGACTATTAACTGTTGATCGAAAATAATATGTTATATAATTTAACAAACAAGAACTTCCAAAATAGATGATCAATCGAAAATCGGTGCGATTAATGACTTTGTTATTGAATACTGATCTTTAATTATGCAATCAAGCTAATTACAAAGTTAGAATCTTAACTTATTGAAGAAGTTTCAGATTATCGAGCAGTAAATGTTGTTCATAGTATATGGTTGCCATAGCTTGAATGCTATAAAACTTTTTCAATTCAAATTTAACTTAAAATGTTACACAGCCAATGTCATTTAATGAGAATATTATGGTGACGAATTCGTTCATTCTAGATTACAATGGCAAAACGATAAACTGAAATATTTCGTACATATTTGCGCACTGTTTATAATTGTAATATAATATTCTTCAAAATAATAACCTTTCACCTAATTTTTAGAACATTTCATAAGATCCAAAAATATAAGCAAATTATTATATGTCAATAATTTAATGAGGAAAACCTTCCTTAAATAAAATTGTAAATGAACTACCGTCATGAAATATACTATATACGGTATTTTTGCATGAAAAGGCCATTAGCTGCGGTATGCAATTCCCTCGAGAATTATAGCGATGAGATCTCATTCCATGATGTTCAAAACTAGATAAAAGTCACAAAACGGTATCGTTCTAATTCAGATAGTTATATTTCAATTCATCCATGCACGATAACTCAAACATGTCACCCTGCTTCATAATTTCTCATTTACTAGAATATAACCTCTTACCCCTAAATTAGCGTTAACAATATTCACTTTATTTTCTTTACTGTCTCTTTCAGTGAATAGCTTCCTGCAAAACCTTTCTATTTTTTGTAAGTTGCATAAGTAAATTCTCATATATATTAGTTACAATATTGTAATACTCAATTAATAAAAGTAGTGAATTGAAAACAATTCATTCGAAATCAAAGCATAAGGTTTACTTTCATCAATTGACAAGTCAGGACTGTGTTGGATGTTTATTGGAAAATTTCTTTAAACATAGAATGCTCAATATTGTGCATTTGCTTTAAAATATCATATAATAACAAAAACAATTACAGCGATAACGTGACTTGGTATCGTGTCACACTGCAGCAAATGGAATAAACGTGGAGAACAGAACTATATGCGTTACCTAGGTATGACGTCAGCACCGTATAGGATAGGATATGATTTACATATTTATCCCGGTACAGCTGATAAGGCGTGCCCTAGTTATTGGCTTCAGTTACTGCGATAAAATTGTTTTGTTTCTAAACTTTCCAACCTTTGATTTAACTTCTGAAGGTTTAGAAAAATCTGTCATTCACCTGCGTTTACTGCCTGCAAGAGGATTGCCGCAACGATAATTGGCGAACGCTTCTTCCTCCATTCGAGAGATGGTATCTGAAACGACCTACAAGATTTAACCTTGATGTTCTCGGCTTTCCCCTTTTTTGGCATAGATCTTATGCTTTCGAGAGAAATGTATCCATTATACTCAATAAGAAATGTCGTAAATGCCACAGTCTGTTGGATAAGATATCAAATAGTTACATATATCGGATGTTTAAACTGATTATTCAATTATATTTTATGGACTATTAGCAATATCCATATGCCCGGGGAAGTTATGAGTACGGGAATAGGTAGGCCTACGGGAAAGGCATAAATGAACTTACAACCCTATAGGAGTCCAACAATTCTCTCGCACGTAATCATTTCTCATGGAGTTCAAGATTGAACCGTTTAAGCAGGAATTGCACGGTGCTGCTATCCGCTAAACCCGGTGTGTGCAACCTGTGGCACGCGGGACAAATGCGATCAGCAAGGGAAATTTGTGCGGCCCACTGAGAAGTGCCAATCTGGAATGGTGTGAGGCCCACGAAACGAATTTTACCAAATCTGCATTGCGACTTGCGAGTAATGCCAATCCCGTCGCTACCTTATTCCAACTTATTATCATCTATATATACCTATGGCGCCACAATGTCTTAACAGCTAGCTCGTGCGAAGCGAAAAGCGCATGTCATAAGACAATAACCCGAATCTTTGTGTATTCTTCATACTAGAAAACATATGTTTTGATAAATGTGCAACCCGCGGTTTCACCCAGTTATTTGTATCTGACCCGCCTGTATTAAAGGTTGCACACACCTGCGCTAAACTATGCTTGGGTGGCTCGGTAGGTTAGTCGTTGGGGGGCTTAAAGCAGGAATCACGCCACCAATTTGCACAAGGAAGAAACAAAAGCTTTCCGAAGACTCAAAGAATATTGGAATATTTTCTATATCGAATGTTCAAAATATTGTTTCCATGACGTCTGGCGTTGACAGTCGGTCATTTCGAAAGTATGCGAAAATTTCGTCGTGTTCTCAATTTTTATTGATATATATATACCAGTATTTTTTAATTGGCCGTAGGACAGCGTTTTCTAAACTGGGGTCCGCGGACCCCTGGGGGTCCGTGACGACTGCACAGGGGGTCCGCAACAATATGAAAAGAGTCTGAAACATACACATTTCAACGTAGATACACTGTCACATAATCATTCGAATATGAGATAAAGTCATAAGGATAGGATAGGATTTACATATTTATCCCGGGGGAGAGGAAAGTGGATAAGGCGGCTTATCCATATGGAGAACCACGGCCTCTCGTCCGGTTACCATTCCAAGTCGGGTATGGGATTAGTTATATTGTTTGTTTTCGGAAGCATGGACTTGGTGGTGGAGGAAGCCGTAACCGACCAGCGGTTACGTGAACCACCCAACGACGGCGAGGAGTCCAGCAATCTTCTCGCACATAACCATCCCTGCATGGGATTCGAACCTGCGAACCCATGCAGAGTAACTAGAGGTGCGGTGACGAGCGTATTCCTAACGCTTAGCCCGTTGAGCCACACCGCCGCGCCTAAGTTCACGTTATTGCAAATCGTCATTGTTGCGAAACAATGGGAGTGAAAAAGCTGTTTTAGAACGATTCTTGCCTTTAGCGTCTGTGAGGTGGACCTTGATCACAGAGCTACATCGTCGTAATAATTGATTGTATGGGTTACTAAGTTATCACCAGTCAATCAATACCTTGTGCGCCTGCTGAAGTGCTAAGGTCATTTGAGCCCGTTACCGTTGCTGCAAGAAAGGGGCATGAAACGAAATTAATTCCGATTTCATGAGTTTTATTTTGTCAAAGGACGACATAGGATGAGGGTCCGTAAAAACTAGATTTACTAACGGGGGTCCGCGTCTCAAACAGTTTGGGAAACTGCCATAAGGCGTAAGAGCACATATCATCAGCACTTTTTGAAGTCTATTCAAATAAAGACCGGAGACTTTAGTTACGTATTTTTCTTTTTTTCTAACTACTGTATGTGTTGTTGCGTCACCAATCAGATTATTGGATTACTTTTTGGGGTGGTTAAATTACCTGACGCCTCACGCCACCTTGTGTCTTATTAGATTATCTTAAATTAGGCAGTAGGTGTCGATATTGTGTTCGATCGTTTAACACTGAAGGGGGATCTGCTGGTGTTCCACATTTAGTTGGAAGGTTGACTTTATTCTGATTTCAATCTCCAAAATTTGTTGCTGATCTGGACTTTCATTCTGTATTGAAGAGTAGCCATCCATCAATTCAGCCAAAGTACTACTAGTACCGATATGGATTTAATCCATCAAGAATTGGAAGAAATCAAGAAAATTCTTCAAATTAAAGTTCCTGGAAGCGAATTAATCTCTTGTCATAAAAATCTTGTCAGTGTAAAACTCATGTGAGTAAACAACAAGTGCTTGTTTGATATACTTTCATACTGATAGTATCCTAGCTCCAGATAAATATGTAAATCACAGTAGCAGCTTCTATTTTTTTACCTAAAAAATTTCGAGGATTTGTGCCAATAATCTGTTCCAGTTCTTGCACGGTATAGGGGAAAAATATTTAACCAATTCTTTATTCCAAGCTTGGTGGTACAGGGAGTAACCTTGATCAAATTGTAGTGATGATCATAAAAATCATATGACAGTGATAATGTGATCCACTTTTACATAATTAATCCTATACCTATATCCCTTAATTATTTGTCTCTTGTATTTCTCAGAAAAACAAAATACAAACAATTGACAGCATGCCTACAGTTTCCATCTGACTATCCAAACGAACCGATTCTCATTGAAGTAAAAAGCAAAGTTTTCTCTCCTTCTTTGGTGAACATGATTACCTCAATTTGTGATAAAGAAGCAAAGAAACATATTGGAAGAAAACAGGTTTGTTTTGCGGTATTCGATTGATATTTGTGTTTCAGTATATTCACTGTTTTATTCACAATTTTGAATTGTGAATATTAAAGTAAGACCTGCAAGCACAGTTTGACATTGTGCTTGAAATTTTTGACCGAAACCAATAAAAGCTTTGGGTTTATTCAAGCCTGATCGATTTTTCTCCTGTTTCATAGATTTTTTTCAACATTAAGTTTTTATAAACAAATGTAATGATTCGTTTGATTAGAGAAGTGTACTCGTAGTATGATGTGTGGGCAACTCCTCTGTGTTATGTTTTGTAGCAATGTCTTCATACACTCCAATTTATTTTAAAATTTCAATATTCTTTCATGTTTCAGATAATATTAATTTTAAAATTTCTACAACAATTTCTTGATGACAATCCATTGCTCCCATGCAGAGAGGAATGGGCATATATAAAGAAAAATATTTTGGAGGTAACTAATAAATCCTTTTTGAATTTGTGTTGGACATTTCTCAACAGCTATTGTGACTAAAAGTGTAACAATCAAATGAAGGTTTCATTAATTTCCAAGAGAAAAAATTGTATTGAACGATTTTGTAACAAGGATAATTTTGTTTTAACATACAGTAGTTTCGTAAAATATTTCACTGTGATCCCCACTAAGCCCTTTCTTGACCCCAGTTTGAAGAGCCCTGCATTGTAACATACTGTGCTGCGCACTCTTGATAATCTAAAGATCAGAAAAACAGTCTTTACACTAAAGCGAAGTGACAGGCAAATATAGTAACCCTTAAAAAAAATAGCTCACATAGATTTTCTGTGTTCAGGAATGTGATTCGGATAAAGTTAAACAGAAGAAAGGAATGATACAAGTAAAAGCTACGCGAGGAAACTATTTTTTGAAGGTATTATTGACCGATACCAGCCATAACGTTTCAGCTAGTTTGGGATATAATTAACAAGCAACACAATATAATATTTATTGGTAAATCACTTTTTCAACTGAAAAATTTTTAAAGCACAGTTATTAAAAACATATTGCATTGTCATTGCTAGTTTAATTCGAACAACGCAGAATTACAGTTAGTGTAACTCAAATATTTTTCATAGATTCAAGCAACAATACCCAACAATTATCCAGAAGAACCAGTTAAACTAAGCATAGAAGATCATAATTTTCCTGGTCCTATGGTCTACTATTTCATATCACAAGCGAAAGAATATGCTCGTCAGGCAACTGAGCCTCCATTGAAGAAAAATCCTAAGTATGTCCTAGAGCAGGAATACTCGAATAGATCCGTATACAAAACCTCAAACTGAGGCCCGATCTTCTCAGAAAATATATTTCGCTGTGTGCCTAATATATTTCAGTGCCTCTACTTTTAGGTTATAGAGTGATAAAATAACCATTGGAAATATGGATATGTCATTAAAGGAAACCTTCATATATCTAAACTTATGGGCACACTGCTATAGTTCTTTCTCCTTGTTTACTTACGTATGTGTCCGCTGCCAAAAGGATGTTTGAAAGAGGTGATATTATAAAAATAAATAAGAATACCATAATCTTTTCCCACAGAACATAGCTCAATGCGTTATCTTGTTTTGTCTGAAGGAATGATCTAACGAAAGCTTGTTAATATACCTACTTGCTATTTTGTGGAAAGAGGCCATTTTTATGTAATGAAAGTGTTAAGGAAATTTCTTATAGATTTTTCTCTTGTTTTTCTAGAGCTCCCGCTTTCAAAGCAGAACCTCATTTAAAGAAAACAATGGAATTCTTAATAAAGAAATGCTGTAAAAGATTTCCGCAGGAGTGTTGCCCAATGTGTGGTAAACAATCACTACCAGAGAATCCAGCCGTGAGTTATTTGTTAGTTTGTATAATTGACTGAGGCTATTAAAAATTTTGTGTGAAGTACCCATTGGATTATTATAATATGGTGAACAATATAAGTTTACTACCATAACTACCTCCCTTATGATAGATTGCACACTTTCACTGAATCAGTAATTGATAGTTTAAATTCATTTAGGATATTATCAAGGATGGAAAAGATGATAAATACATAGAAAGAGTGTATTGTGGCCATTTGTATCACCACGGATGTATGGATGCCTACATGAAAACACCTCCATTTGAAAGTGAGTAATGAACGGTGGTCAAAATTGTGTGATATATATATATTCAATATTCAAAGTTAGGTTATGTTTAAGCTAGAATTCACAAAATTTTAATTGCAATAAATATGGGGCGCTTGGTAACTAATTTTGTTCGCCTATTATCAGGGTGATATTCACTTGGCTAAAAACAAACAGTCCCTGAACTCGTAATAGAATTAAAATCAGGCAAATCAGAATAAAATTATGGCCTAACCCTATTATTCATAATGATATGGACTCTTCTTGGCTATGTTTTGCCGGATTCAAATATTGATCATTAAATTTATTATTTGTAACTGTCACTGATGTTAGCTATTTATTTTTTTATCTGATTAGTTTTGGTTTGTTGCATTCAACAGATGGCAAAATGTGTCCAACCTGTGGTCTTCGCATCTATCACGATAAATGGAATATAAGTCCAAGGTTGGCAGAAGATCGATGGGCCCATGGTGAAGCAAGGCAACGAGAACTTGAAGAAGTTGTGGATTTCTTATCATGACAGCAAGAAGACAACCAACCAACGGTTGAACCATTTGAAAGACGATTTCATCTCAATGTGAAAGGATGACTCCTACCTCTCAGATGTCAATGAACTGTCGTTGACAAGCACTCTGACCGGCCTCCTGATATTCTTCTAATGTAAGAAGATGTTCTCGAAAATGATCTGCTGTTGACCATGCCAGCCCTCCTGCACATGCATACTCTTGAGGTCTGTGGATGGTAAATGGATCAAAATCAGCCGATACATTTTGTATTTATTTTTTAGAATATATATTGTTCATTCAAATAAAATTCTGTGACACACAAAAAGTCTCACATTTCGGTTAATGGGGGCATCTGAAGTTAGTGAGTAGTACAATTCTTCTGTTCCAAAAATTATTAAATCACCCACCTGTCTGACATTGTAACTCTGACTTTATACAGTGACGGTGCCAAACTTCTGACTTCTCTTTCAACCCTCTCCTTGAAATTTTTAAAGTTGCAGCTTCCTCCCGTTAAAACTATATTTCTATACATGTGTGGACGAAGTTCTGTAACAACGAGAAAATATTGACACAGACAGGAATAAAAAGGCTGTACAGCCCCTATTGTTTCGTTTAGTCATGTCCATCCATTTTACATTATACCTACCTTCAGGACATTTTTCAATGCTGTGGACGATTGCTTCAGGAATTCCCATTTGAGGTATGCCAATGTCGGATGGATGGAACAGCACCTCTGGTACAGATATTCTTTCGCCTGCTAATCTGATGGTCTGCTCTTGAGTTTTGCTACTTTTTTCACTACCTGCTCCCTTTTTCTGAAAGGTATTCAACATTGCTGTTTGACACAATTTCACCGACGATATTGGCGACTTTGCTGTAAGACTTACTTTTATAAATCCTCTGTGGATATGCGTATAATCAGGAAGTACATATTCACAAAGCAATGGATTTGCATCTCCCTTTAGTTTTGATTTTTCCATATCTTTAAAAAAATCCATACTTATATGACATGAGTCTTCTTTCACCTGTAATTTTTTTGTTAGGTATGATGTTTTTAAAATTAAACTGTATTTCCTCCCCCGATTGGGTAAAGTTGACCAATTAATCATATCAGTTGCATGTACTTATGGGGAGGATGCTATAAATACGAGTAGTTGAGGGATTGAATCCACGTAGGTAGGGTGAAGAATTGCAATGGCAAACAACCTAAACGTAGTGCACCAACCGATGAGGGATGAATTTGTCAAGAACTTTTAGTTCAACAATAAATTACCTGGTTCATTACATAGGTTTCATCCATAACTTGTAATTGTCGATATGAAATTATTTCTTTCAAATGATTTGTCAGTAATTTCCCACCAACATCAATTCTGCAAATAGAAACATATCATTTTAATGTTTTTTTTTCTATGAATTTAAGTAATATTTTCCGACTCGTTTTTTTTTTGAAATAAGAGAAATTAAAACCAACACACAATTTTACTAGGTAAAAAAAAAACAGATTTAGTTTTCAGAGGATAGGATAGGATAGGATTTTACATATTTATCCCGGGGGAGAGGAAAGCCGATAAGACGGCTTATCCATATGGCGAACCACGGCCTCTCGTCCGGTTACCATTCCAAGTCGGGTATGGGATTAGTTTTTACTGTATTGTTTGTTTTCGGAAGCATGGACTTGGTGGTGGAGGAAGCCGTAACCGACCAGCGGTTACGTGAACCACCCAACGACGGCGAGGAGTCCAGCAATCCTCTCGCACATAACCATCCCTGCATGGGATTCGAACCTGCGAACCCACGCAGAGTAATTAGAGGTGCGGTGGCGAGCGTATTCCTAACGCTTAGCCCGTTGAGCCACACCGCCGCCACAGAGTACTGTTATTATTGGTGATTTGGCAGTTAACCAAACAACAATAGTTGCTAGATATTATACAAGACATCCATTCTTCTCTCCATGAGGTGGCCAGGTTTCCCCTCATGAAATCAATTACTCAATTGGTTTTTGACATATCACAGTAAGGATAGCTAGAATCTAAATGCTGCTTGCACAATTTAATCCCTTTTTATTGGAGCAACAAGAAAATATGACTTCTCCTATCCTAAAATTGCTAAAAACCTGGTATACCTGCAAAGTGCACTTGTAATTTTCTTTCCTGCATGATAAGGAACAATGTGTGTGAATGAATAACCAGCATCGACGATTATACAACAGTTCTCTAACGGAAATTCTTCTTCATACTAAAAATGATCATCAAGACATATTTACTTTTTATCACAAGAGCTGTTAGTATTGGAATTAAAATCTTATGGTATGATTTGATTTAGCACATATAATATGCAAGCGGGATGGCCTACTGATTACAGCGTTAGATGAACTATATTGACTCCGCAGGTTACAAATCTCGAGTTTAGAGCCTGTCATCTCATCCAGTGTGCGATAAATTGGATGGGCAATGCGGCTTAATCATTGAGGATACGACTCTTCGTATAGGGTTTGTTGACAAAAGTGAGACAAATATAATCCAACAACTTACTTTTCTATATGACAATGTAGTTGCATTTGTTCTCAGAATACTTTGGAATTCGTATTCTTCGAAGAATATTTCATTCATTGCCTCTTGTATTGTAGGAAAATTAAAATGTGGTTCTGTCAATATGATTGAGGTATCTGCAGGCTTCAACTGAAAAATAAAAGAAATGGGATTAGCAATGCATTGTTTGGTCAAAAAGATCTAAATCATACAAAATGAAATGTTTATCTCTCTCCATCGATATTGATTGTATTCCCGATGCTACTGCATGTGCTCGTAACGTTATTTACTGATATTATATATCGAAAAATGATGCAATACTTTTATACTGCATGTTTAAAAATCCTGAATTTCCGCTTTGCAACATGGTGGAATTCAAACTAAATTCATCTAACTAAAATTTTGATAAATACGAAATACCGTAGATCAAAAACATGAATTCATTTTAAAAAAATGTGCGCAAGCTTTAAAGTCTTTCTCACATTCAATACATCTTTTCCAAAAGCATAATCCCAAACTTGTTTCTGGACATCCCAATTCACAAGATATCCTTTCTGAAAAGGGAGAAGGTAGAAAAGACCAGAATGATCTTTGCAGCTATCAATCTGGCCTGAAATGAATGATTTCCTCCTTTCCATTTTTGATTTGAAGATGCAGTTTGGGATGTTCCTTAAAATTAAAAATAAACAAATAAATATATATTTCATGCAAGATAGGTACAGCTAGACACTGAAACATAGATCATCAATATGGCCATCTAAAAATTCTAGTTTTGTTTTTGCGTTGAGTGCCAAGAGATTGTATGAAGAATTACTTTATTCTGTCATTGCATTATTAAAAAAAAAAATTGAAAAATTTATATAATGCAACACAGAAATAAATGGATTCCCAGCTTACCGAATTCCATCGTCAGTGCCAATTTTTAAGTTACATGCTCCAATATCCAGAACAACAGTATTTTGTTTTTCCATGCTTAAAATCTACTGCACTCGTATCGAACGCACTTCGAAAGATTGTTTACGAGAAGATAACTGCGAAGCGCGCAATAGTTGATAAAAAAATGTTGAATTTAACCCTGCTATTGTGGATTGCTGCGTGCTATTTTTTCACCGATAACTTTGCTATTTCGTCTAACACAATTCTCAATCTTCATAAAAAATTTTTATTAGTACTCATGCGGTAGATTGCTGATCGTTTTAACGGAATATTTTCATCAAGTATTCAGAATTGTAATCTGCAAAATACAGAGCTCTGTGTTTGTCGCGTCAAGCAAATTCACGTTTCACACTTGCCAAGACGAAGCTGGGGTCGGAGGACAGCCGACTTCAAATTGAAATGCGTTAACCGTAACTATATCACTATCCAGAGAAATAAAAGATAACCTGTAATTGTTTCGGTAAGTTGTTAATTTACTGACAAAATTATCCTGACATCAGGTACATGCACACCTCAGCACTTCTTGATATTGCCGTCTGTTATAGTCGATTCACTCAGAGGGATCCTGTTAACTTATAATCAGTGGCATACAGTACCGGTACCGGTAGCGAGGTCTGATTACCCATGTAAATTAATACTTTTTTGAATAATTATCATGTTCAGATGTTTATTTTCGTTGTGTGTTTGGCTTGTGCATGGACCTTTTTTGTAACATGTCGGATTTCAACTAATTTATCTATCGTCTGGTGGGAAAGGATTTTTAACAGGTGAAGTCAACATTAATAAAAGTTTGACACTTCAATGGAAAAATTCAATAAAAAACCTTATAACAAGATCCTGATTCCTGAACTAATAACTGAATTATGGCTGTATGGAGAGTACTTACTGATGAAGCAACAGTGTGTGGACACTTACCGGTAGTTATAGCTGTATGTCTGCGAAGTGTACGACATTCCATAATGCAGTAATCTATTGTTTGTGCTCTTTTTACTGTTCAGCCAAGTCCAATTTGGTCTGTTACATACAGTAGGCCATAGAGGCTATATTTCATTGATTTTGTGGTGATTTCTGAGTCATTTCAAATAATTTTTCGTATCATATACGTTTAGGCATTGAAAAGGTGAAGATTCTGTGCGGTTACATGGGAACATTGTGTTGAAAATAAAATCATGCTGTTCCAGAATTGCAACGTGTTCATCTTCAGACATAGGAAGATATTTATTATAGTGACATCTTTGCTTTTGTTAGCAGGCATATTGTATTATAGTAACATCTCAAAATCGCCTGTACGATACTCCATACAACTTCAAAAAAGCGATGATGATAATTTTGTAAATGCTACGCCAATCAATAGAGCAGTCTTCAAAACTGATTTCAATCAAGATTTCATTCGGTTTAATGGTAGAAGTACATTTCCAATATTGTGCAATTCATGTGCATTAGTAAGCAGTGCCGGTACAATGCTCGACAGCAAAGCTGGGATAGAAATAGATAGTCATGATTGTGTTTTGAGAATGAACAATGCTCCCACTGCAACATTTGAAGAAGACGTTGGGTCAAAAACAACATACAGAATATTTGCTCATTCATCAGTCGTAGATGTCAAAAATTATGCACGAATAACTCCAGAAGAAGTTGCAAATGCCTTGTTTCTAGTTTGGGGGCCGAAGAAGAATTTGGAACCGGGAAAAATAACAAATAGACATTTAAAAGACATCGTGAAACAAAATCCTGATATCAATCTTCATGTTTTAAGTCAAAATAGAGTTGAAGATGCGGACAATCGCTTCGAAATGGAAACTGGGAAAAATCGTATGAAATCTGGAGCATATTTGTCAACTGGGTGGTTCAGTATTTTATTTGCTAAAGATATATGCAAGCAAATCCATATTTATGGAATGGTAGAAGATGATTACTGTGAAAAACAGCTAGTTAAATTGTTTAAAGATGTCCCATATCACTATTATAAAAAAGGCACTAATCAGTGTTCTACTTATAGAACACATGAATATGCAAGAGCTGGTGCACATCGATTTCTCACTGAGAAAAGAGTATACAAAAAGTGGGCTAAATCGTGGAAAAATATATTTTTTCACCATCCTGAGTGGGACTTAAAATAGTGAAATGAATGAACTGTACAGCTGCCTGAGAAGATTCCTTCTTGTATGGAATTGTTTCATAATTGAGTGTGTGTTAACGAAGTTTCATACCTAATTGCTTTCATAGATACTTTGGTCCAAACAAGCTTCTAACTGTTTTAAATGATTGTCTTTTTATGAATATCCAGTGGTGGGATTCAAATTTTTTGTCAGCCGGTTCCATCACAAAAGCTATATTTTTCGGCTGGTTCTGTTACATGTTTTTTTAGCAATGCTAACTGATTCGCTGATCTCATAAAATTCCGTGAGACGGTTCTATAGAAGCGATGCGAACCGGCTGAATCTCCTCACTTGGGATATCTATTTATATTCAGGTTACCCTAACCATGTGTCAGGCATCTGTGTTTCAAGCAGTTTTGTATTTCAATATGTTGTAGATAGAAATACGAATACATGTAGACGTATGTAACCATGAGCAATCTCAACTATTCACATTGTATTAGCTATGAATACCTTTAATATCACTGTTGTGCACTTCACTGTTTATATGTGGTTTTATTCAGAGATTTATAATCGTTTACCCTGTGAAAATTTTGATTTATGCTGGATTTACTTCGCTTATTATCCTACAATTAACCTCAAGAAGTGCTTGTTTTTTTTAATTCAACCCTGTTCAATTATTTATTTTTTGTGATTTCTTTGACTTCTTCAAGATGTATTTTTTAAATTTTGTCTTAATTTGTCATATAAATTTCTGTGCCAACTATGCAATCACAATCCATATGTGCATCGAAAGATAATACCTCATAGTCATAATGAAATAAAATCATGGTGCATTACATATTTACTATTTTGTTTCACTCGGTATAATTTCTTGCGTTGATACTGTCATTATGGTTATAGATTTTACTGATTTACGATATACAATGTTTATTATCTAATCGTATTTAATAATTGTTCACTGTGTGTGTTCTATTATTTTTATTAGTTTGGTGCATGGAATTGATTGTCCTGAAATACATTTCTAACTAATCATGATAAAATTTTGTATGAACGTGACCTAGTCTTGCGCATTAATGAGGTATTTTGTGAGTGGTCCACTATGTCTTGGGGAGACGATTAGGCAATGTTAGTGTTCTAGGGGGCTTCTACTTGGCTGTGATTATCCACATATCCTATGACCTGTCTGAAAACCTTCACTTTTAAAATTATTGTACGCGCATACAAATGGAAACTGACTACATGTATGACCACGAATTTTCAAATATTCAATAAATATCTGGGCTGGAAGATTTCTCCAGTGTCCGTAAAAAGAGTTTGGCAATAATAAGGGCAGCCGATCGCGAATTTATCGGTACTAATTCTTTATAACTGCAACAAAACCGAAACTCTTTTGAAGGCAAAAGACCATCGAGCTCAACAAACTTTATTTTGTAAGCAGAACTAAAAACTGAGAAATAGCGAACAAAACCACGAAAACGAGCTGTTTACCACCATGCCCTAAAATCAGAGTAAAAATGTCTGAGGGGTGCTAAAATTTCAATTATTACGCCAGCACTTGTCTTATTATTATGTAGGCCTACTGCAATGACTCCCATAAAAGTCAGGTCAGCTGACCAGCACCCAGTCAGGGCCAACCCAGTTTATTACCAAAGAAAAATGTTAAGAGTGTGCACTGTCCACGCATAATGGAGCATTTAACTGTATGATCATGATCACTCTTATTAGAGAGAGTTTGGTACGCTTAATTACCTATTCATAAAGATCATTAATATTCAAAAGATTCCACAGAAGCGCTTTCGACCATAGGATTAGAATATGACATGACAAGCTTGGTTTGTCGAAGTGTACATATTTCTTGATAATAAAAAACTAGTACTGTATGGTACCGCTTTTGTTAGAAACTATAATGGTCCAAGGAGCACGCCCTTTATATTCATTTCTGGTTATTCACCATTGTATCTACTCTACCGCATATGGGATGTGTGTGTCGAGTTTAATCGGATGTAAAATCCACTTCAGGAATTGGACCCTGTATGGCGTCTGTAAAGATGTTTCAAAACTACGTGCTACGCATCTATCGTCGACAGGCGTAGCCGCAGGCGAGTATAACATCAATTGACCGCATTTAAGTTGGTTGCACTGTTTCCTGTAGTCACAGGCGCACCCGTCCTATCGACCAAATAGCTGACTAAATTGTTTCGATTCAGTTTGTCACGATATGGTTGTTTTTATTTGGTAAGGCATCTGGCTTTTCATTGTTCTATCATAAATGTATTCACCGAGGTGGAACGACGAGCGCCTAAATGAGAAGCCATTCGAGCCGTTGTAAGCTTGCTTATGTCAAATCTGGAGAGGCTAGGATAGCTAGGATAATTCAATTGGCAGAAATGACGATAGTTGCATATATTTATATCGCGTAGTTACCCATTGATATATATCGATTAGAAGAACAGCGAAAGGATTTGGTTATGGTATTCACGAAATTAAATATCAGTATTGTGATGCGTATAAACACCATTTATACGGTATGCAGAATAATGTAGGCCTGGTGTTGTGAGTCCAAGGGAAATTCGAGGATGAATAAAACTATTTACATAAGACACCATTTATGCAGAATAATGTAGGCCTGGTGTTGTGAGTCCAGGGGAAATTCTAGAATGAATAAAACTATTTACATAAGACACCATTTATATTAGTATCGTAGAACAAGTAGTAATGTACTTTTTATAACAAATAGCAGAAGCATTAGCGTGACGCATATACGATCAGTTATGTTGAAAGAATAAACGTGTTGTGATTCAAAACGTATTTGTTAATGTGTTGATTTCATTGAAATTCTCACGGAATTTGTGCACGGATTTACACATCGCCTTGCAAGTTGCATGTATCATTCATATAATGAGAATTTCACCATGCTATCATTTGCATATTAACTTCATTCTCAGAAATTAAAAACCATCATGAGTTTCCTTTCACATTCAGCAAAAATATACAAAGTTCGGATAAGGCTACCTACCTACCATCATTACTACTTCCACTGATCATTGGCCCCGTTTAGCACATTGCACAAATCTACTCAGGAAATGACCGCGAGTAATATGATATTAGCATGCTGTTTAACTAGTCGTCTTTAGTTGAGGCAGGAAGATTTCGTTACTTAATCTGTTAATTTCTATGTAGCAAAATTCGTACCGACAGTACACCATCTAATATGTGAGCACAGAATTTTTGCCATGTGCAATAAACATAAATCGTAATAAATCGCATATTTCTTGTTTGATGCGGGAGATTTGTCATGTCATGTTTCACAATGTAACCACAACAGACAGTAGGACGTTTACGGTTTTTAAAACGCAGTGGACATGTAAAGTTTGTATATAATTCACAGTGACGATCTCAGCTTACGGAATTACATTTGGCTTCATGTCACTCCCACTCCTCCGCGCATTAATAAGTGTTCGTAATTGGCAAACATTCTACAAATTAGCATATCTGCCACCCGAATTATGTCCTTAGACCTAATGCAACAAAAGGTGGTAATAAATTGGGTAGTCAATGTCGAACCGGAAAGATTCCGGGCCTCCCAAACTACAGCATCTCAGGATATTATTCGAAATAGTGATGTATCATTGGATAATGTTCGCAGATTTTTCTGCGCCTAGCAACGTCAATTGAAAAAATTTGCACGATTTACCGATGGCGTGGAGTGCCATACTATTCGCGCGATGTCGGGATTGTGGATTACGCAGACAGGCATGACCTGAAAGAAAGACTGATTTAACATTATTTTCTCTAGTATACACAAGCAATGGCCTAACCGTCCATGAATTATTTATATTTTGCTCAAACGTAGTATTCAATTTCAAGCTCCCCTTTGCAGACGAGGAATGAAATTTGATGATATGCTTGGAGTAGTTTTTTAGGTGCTCCAGAAGTGTGTGTACCCATATGGAATATAGATGTAACTAATTTTGTTCGTCTACTTTACATCAAGTTGTGTAAAGGGACTGAAACCTATGGGCAGGTGTTATATTCACTTGACTAACACAGATAGTCCCTGAACTCGTAATAGAACTAAAATAAAGAAAATCGGAATACAATTATGGCCTAACGCTAACCTGGTACACACTACACACGCTACCGTTTTTTAAGCTCAGAGCCTGCTAGGTTAATGTTTGGTTCCTATCGTTGAACGTTTTATACATTCGGATCGATAGAAAATAGGTTGGGGCGTCTGGTAACAATTATGAATGTTATTTTGAATTCTGGAAAATTCCATATTATTTTTTGAACAATGTCGCGAAACTTGTTGTCCAGAACCTATATATTTATTAACCATTTTCTTGTCTTTACGCAATTTTACTGTATTTATTGCCTGTGGTAGTTTCTGCGAATGGTATGTCACGTGATCTCTTTGAAGTTAATATTCCAATTTTCAAGCAACTTAATCACGCTTACTTCAGAAACGCCATTATCAATATGTACATGTTTTACGAATTCTGGCGGTCGTTAGCGCCATCACCGTGGCAGTCACGCATACAGCACTAATGACTTCACACGATCTGTGTATAGTGCCACTTCCGATATTCTCTGCATGACAGAATCGCAAGCTGCTGTATATATTATCAATTTTAATTAAGTGATGACTAGGTTGCAATGTGTATACTTTATCCCGTATATTGTCCCAGCGCGTATATACCTGTAGGGCAAATGAAAATGTGTCGGTACCACAATTTGTAATAAATATCCTTGCAAAGAATTTGCCTGTGAGTCGGGCGAAAAATTATTCTCTAAATATTTACAACGACGGCATTCTTCTCAAACTAAATGAGTTAGAAGTAGATGCGGTCGAAACTATCAAGCTGATTTTTAAGTTGTGTAAAGACAATGCTAAAGATATAATCAGAATTGCGGCTGATCACTGGGCAAAAAGAATTGAAGGATGTTGACGGAATACCTGAATAGTTTTGTACCTGTACGTATATCCCGCCTGAAAGTATCGCTGTACATTTAGTAGATCATTAGTGCTCTAATGGGCCTGGTAGATATTTTTAATGGCTGTCCATGAATATGAATAAATTGGTAAAAACAAATTTATTTAGCAAAATATCGTGCGTTTAATTGCTTGAGACCGAATTGGCTAATTCCGTTATTAAAAAAATGTTTTTTGATCGCAACTTATCACTAGCTTGCCAAGATCTGGCCAATACTTCTCAATTAATTTTTGAGGCCACTATAAGATATGTACTGATGATGATTGCTGAGTGTTGAAATACGCAACCGGTAAGCTCGATATTCCCAGCTTCCAAATCAGAAATTTGAAATAGGAGAGTATTTCGTTTCCGTTTATTCTGCATTCGTGATTGGAAATTCGTACGGGAGAGTATTTTCATGCTGACTGACGGCCTGTGATTTTACGGTGTAAATAGTTCATCGATAAGATTTGTTTATCAGCCTCGTTACGTGGAGAAAAAGGGAGAGAATTCTATTGGTTTCATTCCGGGAAAAAAATCATGGCTTGTTACGCAACAAGAGAAAGATTTATATTTCACATATACCTCCCTGATTCTAGAAACGAAAGTATCGATCATTTTGCGATGCGACTGGCTGTTACAGTCCGGGTACAATTTTCTTATTTTATATTAGGCTTCGGTAATAACCTTAAAATGGGTTTTGTCCCATAATGTCTCGTCGTGTTTTCTTGTTTAGCTATATTTGAGAATGCGATCGTTTAACGATTTCGTTGTGTGTTGTAGATCTAGAGAATTTGACTTGCTTGCTATCTTGGGCTTGTCCAAGCAGCGGAACCGTTATAACTCATAGCCTATACAATAGTAGTCAAATTCCCTTGGGCGTATAACAAATATAAAATTTTTGCACGATTTCTGAGCGCTTATATTCAGATCTCGCCTAATTTGATTTAGAGCGTGAAGTTCAGCGATCGATATAAGTTTTTCATTTCAGACGGAGGTCGTCGACTAGTAAAGCTTTTATAGATTCTAGGATAGAATAGGATTTACATATTTATCCCGGGGAAGAGGAAAGTCGATGAGAAGGCTTATCTATATGGCGAACCACGGCCTCTCGTCCGTTTACCATTCCAAGTCGGGTATGGGATTAGTTATATTGTTTGTTTTCGGAAGCATGGACTTGGTGGTGGAGGAAGCCGTAACCGGACAGCGGTTACGTGAACCACCCAACGACGGCGAGGAGTCCAGCAATCCTCTCGCACATAACCTTCCCTGCATGGGATTCGAACCTGCGAACCACGCAGAGTAATTAGAGGTGCGGTGGCAAGCGTATTCCTAACGCTTAGCCCATTGATCCACACCGCCGCGCATTCTCACTACATTATAAGGATTTATGCCAGTGTAGTTATTTATGTGATATTATTCTCTCTTGATTTGATATTGTATTTCCACATGACTAATGTAAGGGATAAACAAAGCACAACCGGTGCTTCACATCGTTTGATTTACGTTACATCGTTTTGATAACACCTTTGTTTATTGTCGACATGAATATACCTGGTGCCAATTATGAGCTATGATCAATGTAATTTACTCATTGTTTTAAATATTTTAAATATGCAGTTATTTATAAAAAAAATCTGTCATGGGAGGTAATAAAAAAGACAACAAACCTAATGTGGAATTTCGCAGAGGTGGAAAATACAGAAATTCTGCAAAAGCATTGTTGCCTTATCGGAGTAAGAAAGCAATCGGACATCCCATTGATAATGCTGGATTCTTTTCCACTGTGTTTTATTCGTGGGTAACCGGCTTAGTATGGAAGTTATACAAGTGAGCATCTACTGAGTTGTTCAATATTTAATCCCTATTCCAAGAGTTTATTTTTGTGGTAGTCGCGGATGTGATATAAATATATATGTGAAGGATATGTCTAGTTTAGTCGAAAGCATTTAGGCATGCATACCACCGTGCCGTAACTAATAACAAGAGATAAAATTTCTGGAATTTGTATATTACAGACTGCAGTACGGCGATAACCGCCTTATCGAAATATTTCAGTTTGAAATTATTGTTATACAGCCACGGTTCTAACATATACCTGTAAAATTAAAAACTTCCTGAATATTTTGAAACATGTTTGCACGAGTCAGTACCCAAGGAAAACTCTGAAGTGGCAGGATAATCGACGAGTGTGACATAAAATAAAAAATTTTGCTGGAAATTCATAAAAACATTATATTTCAGCTCCTTTTTATATTTTTTCGAGCTCAAATTTTTTTTTTTGATGCATTATTTATGCATTTTCTGCCTGTATGATCCACTGGCGATCATTTTCTGAAACTTGCGAATGATTTTTTTAAAGCATTAAATGCAATTCAATATACATCGCTGATATCTGAGAGTCTAATAGTGTACTCCGACTAAGCGGGTATGAATTCTTATCTACTATCGGCTGTGATTTAATACTATATGTATTTAGGTCTCCAGTTCCAATTGAAAGTCTGTGGAAAGTTCCAAAGTATGACGCTGCCGAAACCAACTGCCAGAGGTTCGTTCGATTATGGTCTGAGGAGATAAAAAATAAAGGGGACTTGGCATCTTTGAAACGGGTTATTTTCCGTTTTATACGTACAAGACTGGCCGTTTCTACAATATGCATATTATTTTTTGTTCTTGCACAGTTTGCAAGTAATGGAATCGTCGTGAGGTATTTGCTGCAATATGTTGAAACCTCAAATTCAGACTTGAAAGCCGGGATATTACTAGTCGTTGGGATGTTGATAGCTGAAGTGATAAGATTGATTTGCTTCTCCATGGCATTTGCTGTAAGCATGAGATCTGGAGCCCGCACTCGGGCCGCATTAACAATGGCAGTTTTTCAAAAAATACTCCAAGTACCACCAACAGAATCTTCGAGCGTTGGAGAAATTGTGAATTTATGCTCTAGCGATGGTGACCGCGTATTTGACGCTATTAATGTTGGACATTTGCTGTTAACTGGTCCTATTATGTTCGTGGTTGGCACCACTTACGTTTGTTTTTTAGTTGGACCAATTGCATTGAGTGGTTGCGGTATTTTTATTCTAATTTTGCTGCTTCAAATTGGTCTGATGAAAGTTTTGAATCTTTTAAGACAAAAAGCTGTCAAATTTACAGACCAGAGAGTAAAATCAATCAATGAAATTCTCTCTTCCATTAAACTTATTAAAATGTATGCATGGGAGGAATCTTTCACTAAAGTTGTTCATCATATACGAAATAACGAATGGAAGTATCTTCATCGTGCAATGTTTCTTCAAAGTTTTAATATGGGGTTGGCCGGACTAACACCTTACGTGGCCACGATAGTAACAATAGTCTTAGCGATATTACTGGGTCAGAACATCACAAGTTCTGAGGCTTTTACTTGCTTTTCAATGTTTCATCTCATGTCGTTCAGTTTGAAGGTCATACCTGTGGCTATGAAGAATGTCGCAGAAGCAGGGGTGGCGATTGACAGAGCTCAAAAAGTATTAAATCGAAGAGAATTCATCGATTATTTGACGAAAGAAATAAAATCACCAGACGTTCCTATTGTACTGAATCAAGCAACTCTATCGTGGCCTACGGAAAGCATAAACGCGGATGGCGGAAATGGTGTTGAAAAATCTGACGACATTTCAAATAACATTGATGTTGAAAAGAGTGGATTGACTAAAAATGGATTGTCCACATCGACACAGTCATCTTCGTGCCTAAGCAACATTACCATGGAAATAGCCAAAGGGTCGTTAATCGGTGTTTGTGGCCGTGTTGGAAGTGGAAAAAGTTCTCTTGTATCTAGCATGCTCGGTTATCTTCAATTAGATGATGGATCCGTAGCTGTAAGCGGATCGATTGCTTACTGCGCTCAACAAGCGTGGATAATGAACGATACGATTCGTGATAACATAACTTTCGGATTACAATATGATACTGAGAAATATGATAGAATAGTAAAGGCGTGTTGTTTGTTGCCAGACTTTGACATATTACAAAGTGGAGATTTCACTGAGGTCGGTGAACGCGGGGTCAATATGAGCGGCGGCCAAAAACAAAGGATTAATATTGCAAGAGCGATTTATATGGATAAAGACATATATCTTTTAGACGATCCCCTCAGCGCGGTTGATGCCCATGTCGGGAAAGCTTTATTTGAAAATGCAATTGTGAAACTTTTGAAAAATATGGGAAAAACAATAGTGCTAGTGACACATCGACTTGAGTATTTACCATACTGTGATAAAGTAGTTCTGATGAAAGATGGTCGCATTTGGGAACAAGGAACTCACGACGAACTTTTGAATGACGGAGACGAATATTACCAACTTTATAAAATGTGGTCAAAAGAAAAAGAAGGCGATCAGCAAGAGAAACCGAAAAATACAATAAAAGAGAAACTATTGCCTTCCGTTGATGATGAAATTTACAGCCATGCAGAAAAAATGAAACGTGGTCGACTCATGACCATAGAGGAAAAAGCGAAGGGAGCTATAAGCGCCGAAGCCTATAGAATGTACATTAAAGCCGCTGGAGGTTGGTTCGTAACTATTTTTAACTTTTTCACTTTTATTTTGTTCATTGGTTGTCAGCAATTTTCATCGGCGTGGATGTCATATTGGCTAAAACAAGGATCTGGTCGCAATGTTTCAACAATCGAAGTTATTGGCAACAATTTTACGGGGCTACCAAGGGAAGCAAATTTTTCGTCGGGTTTTAACTCTACGTTTGATTTTACTGTTTCAACTAGTCTAACACCAAGTCAAACTACGGTATCGCCCCTGCCCTTTGTTGAAGATAGAGTAATTGATAACCCAAAATTGTACTTTTATCTGTCTGTTTTTGGATACACTATTGCTGCTTCTGTATTTTCCATGATGTTAAAAGCTTATGTCTTCGCCACATTGAGTTTACGTGCATCTCATGGACTACATAATATGTTATTTGACAAAATAATGCACAGTACCGTGGAATTTTTTGATACAACACCGACTGGACGAATACTGAATCGATTTCAAAAGGATCAAGATATGTTGGATACTATAATTCCGATGTTGGTGGATTTAGTTCTGTCATTTTGGGTTCTAATTCTTTCTTGTCTTATTTTTATCGCGTATGTGTTTCCGTACTTCCTTGCTTCTATGGTGATCTATGTCCCCGTATTTTTGGCTGCATTTTTCATCTTTAAAAGAGCTGTTACAGAGATGAAACGTCAGGATAATATAACACGTTCGCCATGGATATCCCACATCACCACTTCAATTACTGGTATCCACACAATTCGAGCTTACAATCGAACAAAAGATTTTCTCGTTCGGTTTCAAGAACTTTTGGACACAAATTCGATCCCATATTTTCTCTACGTTGCTATTAATCGATGGCTAGTCACCAGACTCGATTTTATGGCTATATCACTAGTCGTTCTCAGTTCTCTGCTTATAGTTCTCACTAATGGTGCGATTCAGGCAGCATATGCCGGTCTAGCAATTACTTCGACACTTATGCTGTCACTGATCTTTCAATTCACGGCACGAACGTCAGTAGAAGCAGAAGCTAACTTTGTTTGCGCTGAACGAATCGTTCACTACATAACCACTGTTCCACAGGAGCCAAAATCTGCCGGTAAGGCTGATCTAGATCCAAAATGGCCTGAGTTTGGTTCGGTTCGATTCAACAACGTGAAAATGCGGTACAGAGACGGACTGCCTCTCGTTCTACAGGATATATCATTCACTATAAATACTTGCGAAAAAATCGGAGTTGTTGGACGCACGGGATCTGGAAAATCATCTTTGGGGGTTGTGTTATTTAGACTTGTTGAACTGTGTGGAGGCAGCATTGAAATTGATGGTGTCAATATAGCGGAATTATCATTATCCCAATTGCGATCAAAAATTGCCATCATTCCACAAGAACCAGTTTTATTCACGGGTACAGTGAAATACAATGTCGACCCGTTTGATCAATATTCAGAAGAAGAAATCTGGCTTGCTTTAGAACGGACACATCTCAAAGAAACTATATCATCCCTGCCTATGAAACTAGAAGCCCCAGTAAGCGAAAACGGCGGTAATTTTTCCGTTGGTGAAAGACAATTAATGTGCCTGACGAGGGCGTTATTAAGGCGCAATAAAGTGCTTATTTTAGATGAGGCCACTGCGTCAATTGACGCAAGAACAGATAGACTTGTGCAAGATACTGTAAACGAATATTTTTCAGATTGTACGTTAATTACTATTGCACATAGACTGCATACAGTAATGACTTGCGATCGTATTATGGTGTTAGACCAAGGCACGGTCGAAGAGTTCGATACTCCTGATGTCTTGTCAAAAAATCCAGATTCCGCCCTGTCGAAATTACTTTCTTCAACTATGGGATAAAAACGTTTGCAGAAAATGAAACCAATGGAATTTTTATTTGCGTGTTATGGGTAAATATCTATAAAACACCAAACTATGCTTGAAACCAATATAAAAATGTCTCGTGGCCCTGTGGATCGTTTTGTTATTATGTTGTTGTTAAACAAATCGTTGTTTTTTTCAACTACTCGACCAATTGCTTTGAAATTTTCAATGGTTAAACTTATTGCTGTCGCTGGAAGGCCATCACTTTTATTTATTTCAAAAATATCTAGGGGTTCTATGGGATTCGTTTTTACTTCGAAGTTTTGTGTGATGACGTCATCATAATAAAAAATTACGTGCCGTGGTTTCGTGATCACACCTCAGTGATCTGGTTGCCAGATTACTGGTACTGTAAAATATTTGTACTAATTTGTTTTGGTCTTCGTGTCCATATATTTGAGCATCGCTCTCTTGTTTAATGTAAGTTAAATTCTTCCTATGTCGTTCCAGTTGTGTGGTCCTCACGATAGGATTGAAAAGATTTGCACTTCATTAATTACTACTTAGGCTTATTGCACAATAGTAAATGCTGAAATATATTTCACACATGATATTGCTTCCTCTTATTTTCAATTATTTTTTGATATGCACATCGGGTTTTTATTCACTATGTTATGAAATGAAACGTGTTTTGAACTATTTCTCATTAGTCATCATTCTATGTTGCTTATACTTGCCACTTCTTATTTATTTTGTTTCCCGTAACATGGTATTATTCCTTGGAGGCATGATTGGGAACTTAAATTGTTTAATCTGAAATCTGATGGTATGCCTATGGCGAAGGCGCTTGAAAATTTGAATGTACGTTTGTTTCAAATTGAGTGTAAGCGTTTATCCATCGTCTCTGTCAATCCGCTATTCTAATAAAAAGCAGATGGGTTTTACCCAGGTTGAAATCATGTATTAGCGTGTTCTTCAAACTTTTTTCATCACGACCAACTTGTCACGGCCAAATTTTTTCGCAACCCTCAGAAACTGAAATAAAAATAAATTAAAATTTTATAATGCAAAGAATATTAAAAAAAAAAATTATAAAATTGACAATACCTTTAATAAGACGGAAGTGCTTACATATTCTCGCACAAAAGATCGAATCTTGGCCCTGTTTCGGTAATGCTGAGTCTCGTGACGAATTCCAAATCTTTCAAATTCGATTGATATTTTGTTTTAACATAAGTTAGCGTCGAAAAGGATTTTACCGCAACCCCATTGTTTTTCGCGATCCACGAGAGGGTCGGGCCCACCAGAGTCATATCCTCCTCAAAAATTTTGTGAGATTTGAATGTAAAAATTGACATGTTGAGAACGGGAATTCAGTGTTGAGTATCATGTCTTGCGGGAGTAAAACAATGTAACGTCCGTATATATATATATATACCTCATTTTATTTCGTATTTGTTTATGCCATGCACTGCCAGAATAACCAGCTTCAAATGAATAGTATAAGAAATAATTTAACAAGTAGTCCATTTTTTTACTATTGTTTCTTGCTACATTGTACTTTTTTTGGATATTAGCGTGGCAATGAGATCTTTTAACTAATATTACATCTTCACGCATGTTTTATATTGCACTCTAACATATTTAATGCTTTTTATTTTATGATAATTAAATAGAATGGTGACGATGATTTTACCCTCAAATAATTGTTTTTCTACCTTTTATGAAAAAAATTGCTGCATTTGGAATTGATTTTGAATAAGGATTCTTATTTTTAACCTGAAACAAATAACTGGTTAACCATCCCCACACCCGACATGGACTGGTAACCGGACAAGAGACCGTGGCGCCTCATATAAACAGGCCGTCTTATCGACTTTCCTCTCCCCGGGGTATATATAAATACAAATACTATCCCTATCTTGAATTAGACTAAAGGATAATTACTTATGGATCACACTACATCAGTTGTCTCTAAGCGGTACATTTAAACTAAGTTTTGTTTTTAAATAATATTAATGCGAAATATTTAATGCATTCTCATATTGCTTAACCATTTGTATATTGCATTTGCAGTACTTTGATTTATTTCTCTTGCCATTTCACGGTACGAATTACATAGTTTCAATGTAAACTTGTCCTGTCTTATGTAGCTTTAATGATCTAAAGTTGTATGAAGACAGTGAAAAAATAGCGCAGTAGTAGCCCTCGATTTTGGTTTACTTGGGATTCAAAGTTTGCGTTCGCTCGACCTAAAGTTTTATTTGTGTTATCAGCAGATTACGTCACTGTTAATTAGTTTTCTCAAAGTAATAATTATCCATGTTCTCAAATAGCGAAATCCACGCGAATCTGACGTGCTACATCTTTTGCACAGCCCACAAGTCTAAAGTAACCATTAATATGCATAAATATTTAAATTAAATCGATTCAGGGACAATTATACATGGCAAACAGACAAAATATCAAGATGGCTGACACCGGAACGTATTATGTGGACCAGGTTAAGGTTATGCCATAATTTTATTATAATTTTCCTTATTTTAGTTCTATTACGAGTTCCAAGTGACTTCCGTAGTATTTGTACCTGGAATTATGGCCTAACCTGGTACACATACTACGTTCCGGTGTCCGCCATCTTGGTTCACATACTTTGGAAGTACCCAAAATTCAATACATAATGTTCCTGGTACGGATATTCAAAATCATCCGCATAATTTACCGAAAATATCATTTTGGACTTTACAAATCATAAACACAATATAAATCGTAGTTCTACAGTCGGTGAGCGTTTATTGTAAAGAAAGGCAAATAAAAGTGCAATATCTCAAAAAATAATAATATATAAAATTTTGATTCGTTAGAATATGGGTACCAGGTATGTCATACACAGACATTATTATAAACATGGGAGAAATGTCTACTTTCCTCAAGAGCAAAGCCTGGCTGACTCACTTTTATCATAAGAACGTTTGCTAAAATGTAGCAATGACGGGAAACACGGAAATATTGCACGATTTACACGAAGCTAAAATACAACTTTGGCTTCGAAATCGATATTCAGTAAATATCTAAAAAATGATTACAATCATACATCTCATAAAGATTCATGCTCAAGACAGGGAAGAAAAACGTGGATCGGTATGGTGCGTCATAGCCTGTCCTGGCATGTGTTAATAATGGTCTATCCTACCAGGTTCCCAATCCTGGAGTTTTAACACTTTCGGTAACAAAATATACGACAATGTTGGAAGAGCTAGGTCATTGCGCCCTCAATATGTGAAAATACAAAATAGCACTGAAATAAATACTTGGCATTTTAGCATTACATTTTAATATATATAGGCAATCACTAGCTGTTATTCGATGATCATATTTTGTTGAATATAATATTTCAATTTCATGTCACATCGAGGGCAAGAAAGTTCAGAAGAAATAAGGTGCTGATATAATCCGGGTTATTTTATTATTTTTAGTTTCTCCCACTTGGTATTTTTCAGTGAAAACGACATATTTTGTCTGCGCCACTTCACGAACTTTTCCAACTTTGAATTCCATCTGCCATTCGAAGTCTCATCATCAAATATTTCTATTAATCTGAATGTGATGTATATGTTTCCAAAATTGTGATCCCGGCTTCATCTGACAGGTTTTCTTTATTATTAGAATTAGTTGTCTCTGCCCTAACCGATCACAAATACGCTTATGTGATAACTGGGGAAATAGAACGTGATCGTATTCTGAAACTAGCAATTCAAAAAGAGGTTGCAGTGAGTTGCACGCTTTGTTCTTCTGTGAGCTTGTGAGCAGCTTGATTTTCTCCTTACTGTCATTTACATCAGTCGCGTCTTCACAATTTCAGCAATAGGTAAAGTAAGGCTGGTTGGATTAACAACCCTAGTCCCGACTGAGATCCTTTAAAACAAAGTTGTAACGTATGTAGTCTTCCTTTAAATTATTTTATTACGATTGTCGTGGTGTTCTATCTATATGTTTGGAATGATGTAAAAAAAGCTGATCCCGAAGTATGTGAACCAAGATGGCGGACACCGGAACATAGTATGTGTACCAGGTTAGATTTGGCCATACTTTTATTCCAATTCTTCTTATTTTAGTTCTATTAGGATTTCGTGGACTAGCTAAGTGACTCCCGTAGTATTTGTACCTGAAATTATGGCCTAACCCTAACCTGGTATACACATACTACGTTCCGGTGTCCGCCATCTTGGTTCACATACTTCGGGAGTACCTAAAAATATCCGGAAACATTCTCTCCAGTAACAAACGTACTTTTTTGATATTTTGAGAGCGTGGTCACTATGAATCCAGAAGTGTTCAAATTCAGTTCAGGATAAATAGCATTCATAATCGTATTATCTGCGATTGTATTGTTACCAAACAAATTCAGAAAAGAGAAATTTCTAATTTTGTCGATAAAAGTTTTTACCCTTTGTCGCCGATGTAGTCGATTCAGTAGTGGTAGACGTAACTGCTGAATCAGTTGTTGTATCTGTGATATTGGGTGATGCTTCTGCAAGCAAATTTCAATAATGAAACCCCACCTCATTTTTGTATGATAATAAACCAATCAAGTGAATAAACATTAGTCCCAGATGAGTCATTATACAGATTTAAAACGTTACGTCGTCTTTATTACTTGCGCAAAGTATCCAAGATTAAATTTAAATTCTAGTAAATGCATTCTAGTAAATCTATTTAAGGGTAAACCTATTTTTTTAATCGAGCAGTCATTGTGCGGTTATAGACTAAAAGAATATTGCCTGTTATATACTGAAAATTACCTGTAAAATCACCGCTCGCAATGTAGAGAAAGTATGTTTCACCGTAACACCTGACACAATAGTTATAGATATATATATATATAAATTAATTCTAAAACTCACCGTTCACAATGCAAAGAAAGTATTCTTCATTGTAACAGCTGACCCATTCTTTAATGTATTTATCACTTGTATCTCTCCGTATTGTCAGGCATTCCGACCCGTTTCCTTAAAGCATAACATATGAATGAGAATAGGATGTCGAGAATAGGTAATGCCATTACAGTGAAATATATACGTGTGTAGATGATAAGTATAAGATCAAGTCCACAAAACAACTAGCAAATAAGGAAACTAGACAACACCACATATCGTCACGCTAATAACCGAATTGCGTAAGTCATTTTTAGCAGTTTTGAGAAAAACGTAAAAAACTTCCTAATGATATTGTTATGCAATTGAGAGTCAATAATTTGCCATGGTTCAATTTTTTGATCGTAGCCGGATTTAAGTTAATTTGTATGACGCAGTTAAGTGACGTCATAATGGCGCACTGTGACTTAGGCAGAAATGTGTCTATGACTTGGGGACATACGCAATTTTGCAACTTTACTATATGCACCAGTCCTGAAAACTAAACATTCCAAAAACGAATGTAATTCTCAGTATCTACAATGTCTAATCCCCAAAATAGCTAATCAGTTTCAATTGCATTATTTTTTATGTTTAAAAATATATGTTTCATCAATATAACATGTTCTGCACACCCACCGAAATGAGAATGAGAATAAATATAAAGAATATAACAGCAATGCACCCAATATAAAAGCCAACCAAGGTGAATTGGACTCGGACAGTGAATATCACAAGTGCACGTCTTCCTATACTGTAGTATAAATTCAAATTAATACGCGCTAAGCTAGAATCCGAGATGCAAAAACTGGAAAATACTTAACCGAGATTATTTTGCCTTTGTGACGTCACAATAGTCCTGCGGTAACCATGATAAATCATTATGACGAAACAATTGCACAAATGTGCATGTCATACTAAATCGCCATTTTTATAGGTTTCGGAATTCCTAAAATAAAATCTGAGTTAACAGACAGGTGCGCAGCCTTACATAAATACTTATTTTAATAAAAACTCAAAATCGCCAAAAATGACTTACGCAATTCGGTTATTAGCGTGACGATATGTAAATGGTGACTGCTGAGGTGCGAAAGAGCCGATTTCACGAGATAAGTGAGACATTTTGTGTCCAGTTTATTGCAAGCCGTACAGACGTGGATATAATGATCTGATTTAAACCCTATTTGAATCCAAATATTGTTTCTCTCTTATGTTTTTTTTGTAATAAATAAAACACCACGATGATCCCGAAAAGAAAGACTAGGTAGGGGTGGTATAATTTCTTTAATTTTTTTTTAATTCTATTTATCATATTTATGCTTGGATTAATATTTCAAGGCAGTTGGTGTATTTTCAGCTATTTTTATCCAGTTAGGCGCTCTGCTTTATATTCCATTTACTTACTCTCTCCGACAAAAAGTGTAAAGTTCTTGCACTGCATGGTCGCCGAATTAAGGTGACTTTGATTCCAAGCATTGCTCAATGGAAACGGCATGAGTATTGTACCATTTTTTTCACACTCGTCTTTTGCATCATACCAGTTTTTGAAACTTGTTCGCAAATCTACAGCAAGACCTACTGCAAGAAAACAAATGTTTCAATCAAAATTTAAACATTAAAAACCGAACCAAATCTACTGCAAGAAAACAAATGTTTCAATCAAAATTTAAACATTAAAAACCGAACCATTGTCGAATATATCTTCAAATTACGACAAGAAATGTTGTTCTAATATCTAGGTTTAGCGTGGACCAAATAGGTTTCAGACACTTGAAATTATTTAACCTAAACACTAATAAATTTTTACATTCCCATTTCCTATATAAAGATTTATCCGGCACCGTGCAAAAGAAAATGATAATAGTACACAAAATCATTAATTCAGCTTGATCTATTCTAAATTATATGCAAAATAAGATTACTTTGATCGTTGCAGTCCCCTCCTTGAACTGGAAGTGTACTGGCGCTGGTAATCCACGCAATCACGAAAATGTAAAAAATTGCAATCGGAGTCATCATTCTATCAGAAGTTCGTTGACGAAATGATACAACTGTACAGCAATGGCACGCTCATTATAGCGCTATATATATATATATATGAACTGTATATGAATTGATATTATATACTGTGTTTACACTGTAACTTGAGTCGCCTATTCAGCTACAAAAGATATTTCAAAGGGGGTGTTTGTGATTCCCTATAGAATGATTTTCGCCGTACTTTGCTTCAGATAAATATAGTCTAAAAATTTTTCACTTGGAACAGATTACGTTAATGCGTATAATAGAATACGGTATGACATTGTAAGTTTTAATCAGGAATGTCCGATTCAAATAAGAAAATTACTGGATCTAAAGCTGCCATTTCCTTTCCATTGTGTTTTAAATGATCGTGGTTTAATAATAACGAAAAATACTTCGAACAGAGGGTAACATTCTGTTTTTATTTTTAGTATCCATAACACAGTCACATAGGGTAACAAAATATTACTAATCGTCCAGCTAATCAGGAATAAAAATCTGCATTATATGAAGAAAACTGATACGGTGACAAATTGCAATATTATCATAATCAAGCTTAGTGTGGGATAAAAGAACAGTCATTTATATGCAATTTTGCTAAATTTGCAGCAATGATTAACGAGAGATGTAAATAGCTTCGCTCTTTCCTCTATATCGCCGGTGCATTTTAGCTATTCAAGACTCTCTCTGGACGAATATAATTGCATATCTTTTAGTTTGTTCACATTAACATTTGTTCTTTTAACTTTTTTTATTTAAATGACGTACCAAAGTCCCGCCCGTGTACTGATGCATCAATTACCATTTTGCAGGCTTGTCCATGGGACATTTTTTTCTGTCCCATTCCCATCCCATAGCAAATATGCCTGTCCCATCCCATCCCATGGATTCCCATTGGAATGAAATTCAATAAAGATTGTTAAATTTAGGTTTAGCGTCTACTGAATAAGAGTACATGTACGAAGAGACATGCAAAACAACAAAATTTACGGACACAAAATCCATAACGAAATGTTTTACTATCAACTCACAATTTTTCATAGCTACAGGTTTTTCCTGAAGTATACGTTAGTCAATATCAGATACCCAGCTTAGCGAGCTATCTCAAATAGATGAACTGAAATAAACTATTCGAATCACTTCATCATAACAGGGTGTGCGACGTATTGTGCCTCATGTGTCTCTTTGTTGCGTTGTATTGTAAGAATTTCAAAATAGAATTTCATTGTTGCGTCGTAAAAACTCCCGAAAACGAGCTTAGGAAAAATAACATATAAATATCTCCGAGGGGATTTTGCATGGTATATTTTTTAGATAATTTTCTTACTTTGACGCTGTACAGTACTGTAACGCCTATAACAGATACGATTTTATTTAGTTTCAAACAAGAAGACGGAAAACTAAATTAAAGGAAAGTCCTGGGGCATTTAAAATTCATTCGTGCCCGAGTGCACTTTGTTTCTTGTATAATTTTGGAGTATGACTTGCGCTTGAAACTATTTATTGTTTGAATGAACCACCCCCGACCTATACCGCCAAAGCACATATATACCGTATACGCAAATATAAAAATCCCACCTCAGAACATTAAGTCAGGACTGTGGTGGAGCCAACTTACTACATTTCCAAGCTCCCGAAACCGGAATCAAAATTGTAACTTTCCTGGAGTTAGGAGTCGAGAGCTTGCTTAATTAAAATGTCAGTTTTTTCGTGGTCAAACTTCCTGAGCATGCACGCACCTTTTTCCGTAGTTGACAATCCATTTAGATAATTTGATCCACATTCAACAGTATCTATTTATATTCTATAATCTGTATTGCGATTCTTTATGTTATGTTTACCCATTCTCGGGTCAGCCTTTTTTATTTTTCCACACCAGCCGCCATGGTTCGAAATATCAATCAACTCCCACGCGCTAACTTGTTTTTTCAAATGGCGGCAACTTTTCGTTGCTTGGTTTTAAATGATTACTTAGTATTCAAGTATTTATACGAATGCTCAGTTATAAACATCAAAAAATATTTCCAGGTAACCACATTTTCTGTTAAAACTGTCACAAAAACAAAAGACCAGTGCTCACAAATGAAGACAACGGTTGTGCGTCACTATCTGCACACAAAGCTTCAGTTGAGCACAAGCTTGATAAAAAGGTAGGGAGAAAAACATGAAGGAACCAAGTGTTCCCATATGACCTAAAAGTGTCAGGCAATTTGACAACAAAAAGTAATAAATAGCCTTACAGACACTTTTTCCATCATGCAGTGCTGAGAATTTAAAATTGATTGGCCTGTTTGTTGCGGAGAAAATGGGCAATTATAACAACAATCACGACAACAAGTACAGTAACGGTACAATTCGTGCTACTGATATGTAAACATTTTGATAATGATAAGGTTTTAATGAAGCCTGCGCCACGCAAGATAAATACATGGCATAAAAGTAAAGACAGACATTCGCAACAAGCCACATCCTATTATACCTTCATATGAATTCAACTTCACATGATATTTTGAAGTACGTCAGTGACTTTCATTAAATATTTCCATACATAAGCATACATGGACCAGGAAATAATGGCAAGATTCACACGTGTTCCATACTTGCTTGTGACAATAAACGATCTGAATACGCGTGATTATTCGAATCGAAACCGAAACTATAAACAAAAAAGCCACAAGGTGCTTTGATATGATTGTTTATTTTAAATTTTTGTCCACATTACTGTTCAGTTGTATCGCGATGGTGTGTTGTCAAATAGACTTGAATCAATATTCGACGCTATATAAATAGAATTCGATAATTATATTATATTATTTTTATCGTCAAAGTGAAAATTCTCTCACTCGTTGAAAGCTTGTTATTGACACTATAATAGGCTGGCCTTAACTGCCTGATCATTCATGTGCTGACTATGCGTGGGAAATATTGTGCCTGCCGTGCATATCACTGTTCTATTTTGGTATAGATCGCGACAGTTTACGGTACTCCCGTAGTATGTGAACCAAGATGGCGGACACCGGACATATATTATGTTTGTCCAGGTTAGGGTCAGGCCATAATTTCAGGTACAAATACTACGGAAGTCATTTGGCCAATCCCCGAACTCGTAATAGTACTTAAATAAGGAAAATTGGAATAAAATTATGGCCTAACCCTAACCTGGTACACATACTATGTTCAGGTGTCCTCCATCTTGGTTCACATACTACGGGAGTACCCAGTTTTTCTCACTTTGTACCTAGTTCGATACCAAAGTGAAAGTTCTAATAATCTTGCTGGAGAAGAATTAAATGAAATAAAAAATGACCGAAGTCTGGTGTAAAAAAACAGTTTTAACAGTTCACTGCGTGCATTTGCGTGCATTTCATTCTATAATGGCTAATCTAAAGTAAAAGAAACTTGGAAACTTAAAAATGTTTTCTACCGATGACTGTCTTTATCTTTCATCTAACCCAGTGGGCTTCAATCAGGCTTCCGCGGCACCCCAGCACACACCAGGTGTTCCCTTCAAGTTTACATTCAAATCTGAGAGACTATTTTAATACAATATATGTACCCTATATATCGTTTAAATTCTTCATAATCAAATACTTATTAGGTTTTCTATTATTGTTAAACTGGCTACTGGAAAAAACTCATTTTGCTTCGCCTCCACCAATTTATATACAATTTGGTTTTCATACAAAATTAAATTAGAACGTGTCACGAATTTATTTGTGTTTATAAGTGTATGTCACCTACAAAAAACGTCCAAAAAGCACAGTGAATGATATTTTGCCATTACAGAGCTGAATTTGGTGAAACTCACTTTGGCAAAGTTGCTATTCTATGTCACCTTAAAGCTCATAAACTCCGTAAATATTTCATGAATTTAGCAAAACCCGACATTGGTTACCCGAATTGAATACAAGTAATAGTCAAATACATCTCCAAAAATATGCGACATTCACACGTTGCTGTTTATCGAGTTCTCTGTGATTTGGAGATGAAAATCGATTCTTGGAGAAAATGTGAGTATATGTAGAAATGGGCAAAACAGCCATTATTTACAGGAACGACGCAGTGTGATGTCACAGTTTCATTCCACTTTTAATTGAGACCACCTTCTTATCGGCAAACCTTAAAAATTCACTGAAACACGCGCTAAAGCGTGAAAATGACTTAAAAACCACTAGTAAAACTCGCTAAATCCACCAACCTATGAATATTATTTTGGAAATATGAATGACCAACCAGCCTAAGTTGTAACTCACTGTTACAATCAGTTTCGGATGGGTTGTTTTTCTCTTGTTGCCTCTGATCTGTTATAAATCGACAGCTCCCAACTAAACTTGCCATATTGCTGAATATAGTAATCACAAGAACCATATAAAGCACAGACGGAAAAACTTCCATCGTGGCGAAACGTAGAAATATCCAAATCCTTTAAAAGAAACAAAACAAGTGCGCTGAACGCAACGCAGCTGTTTATTACGATATAAATAAATGAAATATCAAAACCGTATCCATTGTTCAACCTCTGGCCATGGGTGTATCAGAATTCCCCTTATAGGCTGTGTTGTGTCATCAATAATCTAGAAACGAATGGAAGGTGATACTTGATATTATCATTATGTTTCATCTCGGGATTAAAAAGTTTAAGCAAATATTGGTAACGTTACAGCAATAGGCATTGAACATAGGATATTTGGTTGTCATTCTGGTATGCATTGGTCCCATTATAACATTCACATGGAATTCAGTTTTAACTCTAACTAAAATCACTGAGATCACACAAGTATCACCTATATTTGTTCATCATATTATTGTACCTCAGCACCTGCCTACTTAATTTAATAATAGTTAATATCAGATCAAGTAACAGAACTGATACAATGAACTGTTGAAGGAAAGCGGGCGATAACAAAACCATATACACAGCACGGTACTTTCTGAGGGTTCCGGAAAGCTATTCGGAGTTCGAATATGATTGATAAAATTAAAACGCCTATTTAAAACTTTCCAGGTGTCAAAATATTCACCGTTAGTTGGTCAAATGTATATATTTTTTTCGT